GTCACTTTTAGTCCATAAAATTGAAGAGTAGTTAAGAACAGAGGCAAAATACATGAAAACATAGCAAGAGGATTACTCTCTAGCCTATACATGTTGCATGCCTTTTTTTTTTTTTTTTTTTTTTTTTAAAGAGACAGGATCTCACTCTGTTGGAATGGTCATGGTTCACTATAGCCTCGAACTCCCAGGCTCCAGTGATCCTCCCACCTCAGCCCCCTGAATAGCTAGGATTATAGGCACATGCCATGCCATCTGGTAATTTTTTTATTTTTTGTAGGGACATGGCCTCACTATGTTGCTCAGGCTGATCTCAAACTCCTAGCCTCAAGTGATCCTACTGCCTTGGCCTCCCAAAGTGCTGGGATTATAGGCATAAGCCACTGACCCAGCTGTTGCATGCCTTTCAATACAACTGGGTATGTTTCCTTTCTTTAAAATAACACCTGAAGTCACCTTGTGGTCAGCTGTCACTCCCTGGGGGCTTCTGTCTAGCTAGTTGTCCTTCCTTACTTCCCCACCCAGCGTGTTTCTGATATCACTGTCATAGCATTCTAGTAACTTTAGATGAAACTAGATAAATAATCTCTCCCAAGGCAACTTCTGTCAAACAGTCAAATTATACTGTTTCAGTAAACTCAGCGAAGTGCTAACATTTTTCAAAATGCCATTTTCAAAGCATTCATCTGTTCAGTACAAAATGACTTGGTGAGTTGTGGCTAACAGGGCTGCTAGATCTCTAGTTCTCAGATAAGATGAATAATGTGTTTTCACAATTTTGTTTATTGCATAAACTTCAAGATTTTGAAACTCATGTTATCTAGTCATGAGGTTATTTATTCGCCCTATTCTAAGTACTTCAATTAATAAAGACATAATGCAATTTTAAATATTCTGAGTTTCCGTAAGGAAAAGACTCCAAGAGGATGTATGTAAGCAAATAAATGTATCAAAACAATATGCTCTGGGATAGACTGGAATGACCAAGATTTTTTTCTGTAGAGATGGTAACAATAATATCACAACCGGTGAACTACAGAAAGATTGTAATAGAAAGTTTTAATGAGGTTGGGTGTGGTGACTCACTCCTGTAATCCCAGCTACTTGGGAGGCTGAGGCATGAGAACCACTTGAACCTGGGAGATGGAAGTTGCAGGGAGCTGAAATTGTGCCACTGCACTCCAGTCTGGGTGACAGAGTGAGACTGTCTAAAAAAAAAAAAAAGTTTTAATGAGACAGCAGTAGCACTTATAACACATGGGTTGAACAAAATTAACTAGCTTTCCATTTATTAAACAGTTTAATGCATATATTTACAAATACATTTCATGTAGAGTCTTCTGATATATAAAAAGCCATAATAGAAATTCTAAGTTTGCTAGGAAAGAGGAAAAAGACTAGATATTTTCCTGATTAAAATACTAGTAAAAAAGAAACATGAATTTGCCATTATGGACTTTAAACACAAGCCTAAAGGTATAGATTTGTCTATAATTAGATTTTGTAGTAAGTTTCCTTTCATGAAATCTCTTTTACTTAAAAGGAATTAGGTCAGATTTTTACAAGGCTTCTAAGAGTGTCTGTGACAGATTTATTTAAATTCTCGTGTTCCATTTAAAACATGCCCTTCTACCTTCCTACAGCAAGTGCTGAATAAGAGTGACCACAATTGCTGACTACCATTGGCAACAAGTAATGTTTACTGCGGCTCACATGGAGATAACATATACTTCATTCATTCATTCATTCATTCACTCCTTCTTCAGGGCCCGTGCTAGGTTCCACAGTGGGAGTTGGCAAAAAACCATGCTCCAGATTTTCAGACTGGCAGGGAAGATAAGACATATATACCCAGGTAAGTATTAAGTAGTATTAGGGGAGAGAGACAAAAACCTGCTATAATTCAAAGAAGGAATGTGGACAAATCTAGTCCTTAACTCAGTGTGTTTGTAAGGTAAAAATGTATCTTTCAGGAGTATCGAAGTGACATTCAAAAACTTACTTACAATTGAAAAAGACAGTAGAACTTATAAATTCTGTGGTTGTTAGGTTGGCCACATCAACTCTATCTTTCAATTCTGGCCTTAAAGTTAATTTAGAATTCTGCTTTCCTTTCTGTCCAATATAATTGTTTTCAATACCAGACTGGTAAAATATGGTCTTGACTAGTGTCAATCACATCAATTTTAAGATTTAAAAGATGTATAATTTTCAAATACATTTTTCCCTGATTATAAAATTAAAACATACTCTTATAAATCCAGGCCAAAAAAAGAGATTAAAAAATTAAATTCACTCTTAATTCTCCACCCAGAGATAAAGCTGTTAATTTTATCATATTAAATTGAAAAGACATAAAATTTAATGGAATGTACTATCTTATAATACAAATTCTATACTTAATTCAAGGGAAAGAAATCTGTTCTTGATGTACTCATGACTATGTTCTTGTAAAATCTCACAGATGCTAACTTGACATACAGTATCACACACACACACAAAAACTGAATGTAATGCCATGAATAAGAAGAGTTGTAAACTAAGACTGTTCTACTAGAATGTTGTACAACTGCTAAATTATGAAGTTATACCAGAATAAAATTTTTTTAAAAATTCTGGCTCTGGCTCAGAATACTTGCCAAAATTGTTCAGAACCCCAATGTAGGATGCCAGTGTGTACAACAGTGCACAGTATTTTACTCTGTATCTAATTATTACTTTGGACAACTGGGTTTTCCAGGCTAAGCATGTGTACAGAGAAGAGGGACTGTTGGCAGGATGGTGTAGAGCAGGGATTTCCAAGCCTTCTTTGTTCTTAGCACTCCTAGTGTCTCAATAATTTTTTTCACAGTGTTCCAAGGCCAAAAGAAATAGCCAACAATCCCATTAATCACATCATTTGGTTCAAACTATTTAATAACATGTATTATATGTCCTAACAATTTAGTAGCCATTAAAAAAATAATACCCATAAGCTAACGGAAATATATTTTTATTTCAGTCTTAAAGAACCACAATTACCTATTGATGAGACGTGTGCACCGATGCGCACTGCAAGACTTTTAAAAGTTTTGGAATCAGACTGGATACCCTCCACCCTCATTTTGTGTTCCACACTAATTTTTGCTTGGCACTTGTGTGTACTTCCTTTTTATCACAGCAACTGCCAAAAAAACTAGTTTGCAAAGATATGATGTCATCAAACAGAATGCAGTAGAATCTAATGCTGAAATTGGGAACTTCTCTGAACTAGAGGTTCAACCAGTATCTGACAGATGTTGCAGATCCCTGTGCTGCCCTTGTGAATTTACTGAGGCACTCCAGGGTGGCTGGCTTGGTGCAGAGGTTGCTAATTTTTAGTATAGGGTAACCTTATCCCCTCACCCTATTATCACTGCAAACGTGGTAGGAAATCCCAAATAAATGGCTGTCCTTGAAAGATTTGATGCCTCTGATGTGTAAACTGGTGGTTCTTTTATTACAGAGTATAGGGGTTCAAATTGGGATATGCAATATTCCTTACATATAATGTGGACCAAAAACACCTGCCTTCTCAAAGATTCCCATGGAACATACATGCCACTGGGAAACAGGTCCCTATGGAGTCACTTTCAGACTTTTATTTACTTCTACTCATACAAATGCTTGTTATAAATGACTGTTACAATCTTACGATCTACCTTTATAACAAATAATCCTATAATTAAACATATAATGCAAAAGGTGGCTGAATATTACTTGCAAATAATACAAAATATGCATCTTAATATTTTGCTGGAAGAAAGGAAGACGCACTAACAGTCTCTGGTTTATAAGCCAATAATAATCCATAATAAAGCCACAGTAATTTTAAAAACATCCCATGGTAGGCAGAGTAATGCCCTCCCTCCCCTAAAGATATTCATGACAAAATCTGGAATTTGTGAATATGTTACTTTACAAGACAAAGGGGATTAAGGTTGAAATGGGACTAAAGTTGCTAACCAGCTGATCTTAAAATTGAGAGACTATTCCAGATTATCTTGGTGGGCCCAGTGTAATCATAAGCATCCTTAAAAGTGGAAGTGGAAGAGGAGGAAGAAAGAGGAAGGCAGAAGGGTTCAGAAGCAGATGGAATGATGGAAGAAAGGCACAGATAATGCGACGTGAAAAGAACTTGACCCAAGGTTGCTGGCTCTGAAGGCGGAGGACAGAGCCATAAACAAGGAATGGGGGTGACCTCTACAAGTTGGAAAAGGCAAGAAAAAAGATTCTTCCCTAGAGTCTGTTCACATTTTGATTTTAGCCCAGTGAGACCTGTGTTAAACTTCTACCCTACAGAAATGTAAGGTAATAAATTTCTGTTGTTTTAAGTTGCTAAATTTGCATAACTTTTACAGCAGCGATAGAAAACTAATAGACTCTGAATTGATTATATTAATAATGACAACAAAAATAACAGCAACTAAAAATGTTTCAGGTCTATTAGATAAGCTAAGTAAGCTGGCTGTAATATACTTTCAACAGGTATTTCCAGTAAGTTTTACTTCATATTAATGATGTAATAAAACTAAATGTAAAATAAACCTATAGAGGCTGGTTCAAATAATTTTACTGAAGTATACCATAGTTTTTTTGCCTTTGTTAATTTTTATTATTGTTTAACAGTGATATAATGACTATAACCAGGATAAAAATCTTTGCATTATGCTCCGATAGGAATTTTTAAAAAAATAAGCATTTCCATGCTCTACATTTTAAGGCTAAAGATAAGCATTTCCATGCTCTACATTTTAAGGCTAAAGATTATACTTCTTTTCCATATGAAAAATACCAATTAAAATATTTTTAGTTATTTCTTGGACTCTTTAGATAAGATGATAGTTTGATGACTGGACAAGAGAAACTTTTTTGTATATTTAACACTTACTTATAGAAAGCAAGAAGAAGTCCTACTGTCAGAGTTACGTACATTTCTATGAACGAAAATATTTATTAAAAGTTCTAAAATAGCCTATGTTCACCTGTGGTTAAAGGTAGGTGGGTGATGCTGTTCAGACAGGTCAGGGTGAACCACGTGGATGACAGCGTAGCTCCGGAAAACAGGAGGAGAAGAATTAGTTTCAGCATACCCCTGATAAAATCTGCAAACCTGAAAACAAAAATGTTCTATTAATTCTAGTGGGATTTAAAAATACTATTTAAACAAATGACACACTTTCATTAACAACTACTTGAGGAATTTTCCATGTATTCTTTTAAAAGACAGTTTTGTGTGTTTTTTAAACAAATTTTCTTACATGATGTTACTTTGTGATAATTTTTCCTCTCTTATAAAACACAAAAAAATGGCATCTTTGTTCAGGATCTATAATTTATAGGATATATTTTGAGTGTTTACTTTTTTTTTTTTTTTTAGAGACAGGATCTCACCATTGCCCAGGCTGGAGTGTAGTGATGTGATCAAGGCTCACTGCAGCGTCGGCCTCCCAGGCTCAAGCAATCCTTCCACTTCAACCTGCTGAGTAGCTGGGCTAATTAATTTTTTTTTTTTTTTTTTTTTGTACTGACAGGGTTTCCCTATGTTGCCCAGACTGGTCCTGAACTCCTGGGCTCAAGGATTCTCCCACCTCAGCCTCTCCAAATGCCAGTATTACAGGCATGAGCCACCACGCACGGCTGATTCTGAGTTTTTAAGTGCCACTGTCATTTTCTTTATATTTTTCTATACTTTCCAAACATTCTATAATGAAGGTGTATTATCCCAGTTTTGAAGATCAGGCTAATTTGTTGACATGAACTTGCAAAGATCTCTCTCAAAATTCAAACTCACTCCGAGAACAAATACAGATGCCTTCACCAGAGCCTCTGAGGTCCTATGTGACCTGCTGCCTGCCACTGCTCTCTCTTTTCCATTCTCCAGTTGGATGGCCATGTTTCTCTTTCTCGTACATGCCATGGTTGCTTACCACAGCAATATGTAGCTTTTGTACTCGTTCCGTCTGCCTGGAATGCTGGTACCACCCGGATCGTCACATGTCTTACTCCTGCTTACCCCTCAGGTCATTCAGGTCTCAGCTCAAAAGGCCCTCTGGGCTCAGTGAAGAAATCTTTCCCCATCCCATCTCCACTTTCTATTTTATTTCTTCATAGCACTTTCTCTATTGGAAATTGTCCTGTTTTTGCATTTATTTTTTGTCTTCCCTACCAGACTGTAAACTTCCTGAAAAGAAAACATATACAGCATCTGGAATAGGAATATTATTCTTCTAAACTTGGGACTTTTTTTTTTTTTTTGAGACGGAGTCTCGCTTTGTCGCCCAGGCTGGAGTGCAGTGGCCGGATCTCAGCTCACTGCAAGCTCCGCCTCCCGGGTTTACGCCATTCTCCTGCCTCAGCCTCCCGAGTAGCTGGGACTACAGGCGCCCACCACCTCGCCCGGCTAGTTTTTTGTATTTTTAGTAGAGACGGGGTTTCACCATATTAGCCAGGATGGTCTCGATCTCCTGACCTCGTGATCCGCCCGTCTCAGCCTCCCAAAGTGCTGGGATTACAGGCTTGAGCCACCGCGCCCGGCCTAAACTTGGGACTTTTATAGTATTTTAAGTTTTCATGTTTGAGTTTTCATGAAACTAAAGGGCATCTGGTAGAGATGCTTATCATTTAGCTATGCCAAAAAAATTTTCCACTTGCCAGCTGCTTTTCCTCACCTGCAGATTAACTGTTGATTATATAGGCACAATCCTCTGGCTGCACAATTTATTTTGTTCTTCAGAATTGTTCCTGTTATAGAATAGCTGATCCCATCTCAAATACGACATTTACTATATTCGCTCCACTTTGAATTTTCTGAAGTTAATTTTAATTTCTATTGTAATGATGTGACTGTCTTTCTTAAAACTTTGAATACTGTCTTCTGTTTTGTACTTATTTGACATGATATGGTTAATCATGTTTGTGTTTTCTAGAATAAAATGACTTCCTATGAGAGCTGATGCCATCTTTTGGTGGGAAAAATGAATTAACTTTTGCCCAGTGACTTAAATTTGTCCTCAGGCAGAAAATTCTTACATATGCTGAAAAAGTTTCCACAACTTTACAAAATGTTCCTCAAGAAAATCCAAAAGACTGTTTTAATCCCACGCTTACCTAACAGTTTTCAGATTTACATTTTGGTATCCTGCAGAAACTTATTTGTCAGATACAGAGGTGACAAGGTATAAGAGAATCAAACAGGTTTTTGGTACAAATCAGACCTGAATTGCAAGAAAGTTTCACAGAAACGGATCATACAAGAATAAACCGACAGCTGTAGTCTGCTATTTTTGGAGACCCAGTCCTTTTGAATAGGCTGATACCATTGAAGTATATTATTAGGACCAAGAAGTCTCTTTAATAGTGGTCTTTAACAACATAATTACAAAAATATCACCCAAAGCACTCATGTCTACAAGGCAGCTCTGTTCTAGGGAATCCCTAAAAATGGTGTTAGGAAAGTAATTTTAAAGTTGATTTTAGGGCTAGGAAATAACTGAAATTGATTTCAGATCCCAGAGTAAGGGTAGTATTTTTTAGAACTTCCATTTCAACAAACAAAAAGCAGAAAAGTCCTCATTCTAACTTTTCCCTCTAGTTATATTGATATCTAGTTAAAATTAAGGGGTATAGAAGGAAAATAATGAGAAATAAACATTTGAGACATAATTTTTTGATACATAATTGTTCCCTCTTTGACCAATTTGGTGTTCAGAATAGGATGTGATCAATGATGACTCACTATAATTGGCTTGGAGATTTAACTAGAAAAATGAGGTATAATTCTTGTCAAAATAAGACAGGTTGATGTATTTTTAATATCAGTGATTTCCTACAAATACTATTTTCCCCTTCTGCTTCTTTAGCTTTTAGTTTTCTTATATTTTCCTAACTTAAACCTTCAAATAAAATGATTTAGAAATTACAGTGTCAATTTATTCTTTTAATATCCCTGAAACACTAGATGAACCATAAAGTCTAGGTATAACATTATCCCATATCAATTAGATTCAAGTATTTAGATATTGAGGTGATATATGGCTCTTATTTGATCTTCCCAAATATGTAATTAGATTCTCCTCTTTATGGTAAAGTTGATTGCCTAATTTTGTTTTTGCGCATAGTAAAATGATTTGGGAAGTGAATGAATATTGTCTCTTTGGAAAATACCAAGAGTAGTTTTATAGGCATTTGCCTAAAAGAGTGACATTTTCATTCTTTTCCTTTTTTTTTTTTTTTTTTTTAGAACAAATGGGACCTTTTTCCTCCTTCTGACTAATTCTAACAATGTGTTGTTGTAATAGGTTGTGATCAAAGAGAGTATGATGAAACTGAAAGTCTTCACAGACATTGTGCATCAAAAAGGGATAACCATAGGAAAATACCTGCCAAAAAAGACCATAAATATATAATATCTCCTAATCAGGACACTGCCTGTTCATGGAAAGTTCTAATGACACTTCTACAAATGATTTCTTCTCAACCCTTTTAGTCTCCACGACTATTAATTTGTCTTTACTATTACATTACCTTTTTTGGACTCCATTTGTAGATGTTGTTCTCCAATAACACGGAAAGAGGCAGTTTAATTACACTGGAAATACATTTCCAGTCTCCAGAAAAACACCCAAGGAAGGGACTACTCCAGAGAAACTTTCTTATAGCAGCAAATTCTTTTTTTTTTTTTTTGAGATGGAGTCTCACTCTGTTGCCCAGGTTGGAGTGCAGTGGCGCAATCACTGCTCACTGCAACCTCTGCCTCCCGGGGTTCAAGCAATTCTCCTGCCTCAGCCTTGCCGGGAGCTGGGACTACAGGTGCTCATCACCACTCCCAGCTAATTCTGCGTTTTTAGTAGAGACAGGGTTTTGCTGTGTTGGCCAGGCTGGTCTTGAACTCCTGACCTCAGGTCCACCCACCTCGACCTCCCAAAGCACTAGGAGTATAGGTGTGAGACACCATACCCATCCTGTTAGCAGTAATTCTATATAACGCATGTGAATTTTCTTGTAGTCTGAACAAGTACCCCTTTCTGACCTTTGCTTGTTTTACTTTTCCCTGAATTGCAATGTTTATTTAGGGGAGCCTATTTATCTTTAGGCTTTTTTCCCCTTCCTCTGTCCATGCACAAGTTTAACAAAATATTCTCACCTTGCCATAGCTATTCCAACAACACAGCCTCCAACTATGGACCAAAATCCAATCCAGCCAGCATCTACCTGTTAAGAAAGAAGCAGACACATTGAATATAAGACGATCATATTGCAATATAAAAGGAATGAAAAAAAGTCCTCTATAATCAATATGTTAATAGCTAAATGGATGAAATAAAAGAATTCACGTGTAACTAATGTATACAAGCATCTAAGAAAATATGTCCTTGATTAACTTTTTATTGGAATATTGAAGTCAACAAAATAATCAATGTCATCAAACAAATATTTTTCAAGTATGTACTACATGCCTGATGTTGGACTAGGAACTCTTAAAATTAAGAAAAGGATGGAAGATAGTCATAGCCCGAAAAAGTTTAAATATAACCAATATAGGAAACTGCTAGGTAATAATTAGATGCTAAAACATGGGGCAACAACTAAAAATATATCAGAAGGTGGAAGTCAGGGGGAAATGTGGGGCTGAGCAAGAGAGTAGACAGAGAAAAAGAAGTTGAGCTGGGTTTCAAATGTATAGCTTGTTCCCCTCTTGAGAAAACATTTCCAGCCCTGCCATTTACTAACTGTGTGACTCCGGGCAAATTATGTCTTTTTACCTATAAAATGGATTAAATGACATAATTTGTATACAGTACCCAGATCAGTGGCCAGGACATAGGAAGTGCTCAGTAAACATTAGCTGTTATTATTATTACTCACTGATGAGTCTTCTCCATCTATCTAGTCTCTTTCCTGCCTGTGCGGCCACACTTTTTCACAGCAATCTATGAATGCTGCCTACGTTTCCTCATCACTCCTGTATCTTTAACTCTTATTATGACTTGGTTTCTGTCCCAACTGATACTCTAGGTCTCAGTTCCTGCATTAATGGAATGGGGATAATAAAGTTTTTTGAGGGTTAAATAAGTTAATAAATGTGAAGTGCTCAATACATGTTAGTTGTTATGAAATAAATTTCATGTCTCTAATAATACTGGTACATCTTGTCTCCTCTTTCTCCTTCCCACAACCATCATGCTTGCTTTTATTACCTTCTTACTTCTTGAACCCTGTAAGAGCTTCTTAAATGGTTTTCACAATCTATTTTGCTCACTGTTGCCAGAATAATTATCCTAAGCATTCCGCGTCCCTGCTCGGAAATAGTTACTGGCTTTCCTTGTGGTTACAGGACAAAGTTCAAACCTGACCTGGCACTTGAGCATTGTCCAAACTAGCTTCTACCTTTTATTGTTTTTCGAGTCATATTTTTCATTACACTTGTGACAGGGATTGCCAGCTGTCCACCAAACGATTTCTTCTTCTACTTGGGTACTTAGCTAGATGACCTGTCCCAGTTCCTAGCTGGAACAGGTGACCATGTGTCAGCTCTCATTAATGGAAGTGAGCATAAGTGAAGTGTGCCACCTCCAGGTTAGAACTTGAAAGAAGGTGTATGCCTCCTCCATGCTTTCTCTCCCTTCCTGCCAGCTGCAATCTGGATGTGGCTGCCCAGCTGCGCCCATGCATATAATGACAAGGTCCTAGGGGACAGAAGAGATACAAGTGGAAGCAGCTTCCGTCTCTTAAATCAGTGTGAGGAAAAGAGCTGTTCAAACTGTGGACAACTATCCTAGATTACAAACACTGTCCCAGATTGCAATGTGAATGACAAATAAATTTTTCTTAAGTCTCAGAATTTTGGAGTTCTACTTCTCCCAGGAGGATAGCCTACTCTAAGCGATACAGTAACTTTATATGAGTCTTTTGCTCTATTGGTGTTTGCTGCCGGAAGCAAACACGAAGGCTCTCAGGAGAAAGATAACATCCTGAAGCTTAAATTATCTCTGTATAGTTTTTCATACTATTGGCATTTGAGGCAAGATAATTCTCTGTTCTGTAGGACCACTCCTTTCACTGCAGCGCATTTGGTATCTATAATCCAAGGCCCACTAGGCTCCCACAAACAATTCCTTCTATCCTCTAGGTGAGTGGGGTCATGCTCTAGGTTAAGGACCACTGCACATTGGGCTGTACTGATGCTGGTACTTTCAGAACATTTTGTACTTTTCTACTTGCTTTGTTCATGACATTTGTCTTAGTTAATAAAATTCTACTCAATACTTAATTTAAAAATTAAAAAAAATTGCTTTCATTTAATTTTAAATTCTACTTTACTTAATAACCGATATGATTCAGGGTCTCTATATCTCTCAGAGTTTGTACCAAGAAAGATACTTGGAAGGGCTTTTTAGGGTTTAAAACATGAAGCACAGATCTGCCAAATCAGTATCATTTTTTGTGTGCATGACATGGGGCCTTACTCTGTCACCCAGGCCAGAGTGCAGTGGTGCGATCTGGGCTCACTGCAGCCTCTGCCTCCAGGGCTCAAGTGATCCTCTCACCTCAGACTCCCAAGTAGCTGGGATTACAGGCATGTGCTACCACGCCCAGCTAATTTTTTGTATTTTTGGTGGAGACAGGATTTCGCCATGTTGCCCAGGCTGGTCTCGAATTCCTGAGCTCAAGTGATCCACCTGCCTCACCCTCCCAAAGTGCTGGGATAACAGGTGTGAGCCACCATGCCCAGTCAAAATCAGTATCATTTAAATGGGTGCTACACTTTTCCTTAACAGAACTGAGCATACTTGGAACACCTGCCATCCAGAAAAACAGGTGAGAAAAGTAAAGGAAGGCTTTCTTCTTACAGTAAAGGTGCTGCTATGGTCTGAATGTTGGTGTCCCTCCCAGATTCTTATGTTGGAACTTAATCCCTAATGTGATCATATTAAGAGGTAGGGGCCTTTAGGAGGTAATGAAGGGATGAGTGCCCTTATAAAAGAGGTTGAAGGGAGCTGCCTTGCCCCTTTGCCACATGAGAATGCAGCAAGAAGGTGCCATCTTGGAAGCAGAGAGTGAGCCCTCCCCAGATATAAATTAGTTGGCACCTTGACCTGGGACTTTCTAGTCTCCAGAACTGTGAGAAATAAATTTCTATGATTTATAAATTACCCAGTCTAAAGTATTTTGTTGTGGAAGTCTGAAGAGACTAAAACATGTACACTAGGTAATTTAGATTAGTATTCTGGTTGAGAACTAGAAAACCTGGGGAAAATTTTATCTGAAGGCATCAGAGAGATAAGAAAATAATCCAGAATTCTGAAACCATGATCTAGGATGGGAAGATAATCTGAAGAGATAAGCATGGTATTTGGAGACAATTTTCCTTTAGGGTTGTCTGCTAATTTCAGAGAAGGTGGCTAAGGGACTGAGAAGTTATTGACAGCCTCACTGACCTAGAAGAAAAAATACCAGTTTAGGGCCTGCTGTGGGGTGGCCTTGTAAAAATCCCGCATTTTAACTGGGCACTCTGAAGGGCTACACCTAAGAGTAGGAGGAACTAGAAATGGAACAGCCTCCTGAAGGACTAAAGCCCAGCTTTAAGTGATCTCAAGCTCTGAAACTAGATTAAGGTGAATACCAGACTCCCGCCAGAAAAAATATAAATTCTCTCTGAAAGAAAACAACATCATCTTGATACTTAAATTATCTCCACAGCTTTTCATGTACTATGTCTAGCACTCAATCAAAAATAACTGAATGCATAAAGAGATTTTTTAAAATTACCAAATATCAAACATATACATAGACCTACAAGGGACCAAGATAATGGAATTATGAGATACAAATTTGAAGTAACTATTTTTAATAGAGAAAAAAAATAAGATCAAGCATTTCTGCTGAAATCTGTCAACTATAAAAAGAACCAAAGACAGGTTTCTTTGGTGGTGGCTCATGCCTGCAATCCCAGCACTTTGGGAAGCCGAAGCAGGCGAATCACCTGAGGTCAGGAGTTCAAGACCAGCCTGGCTAACATGGCGAAACCCCATCTCTACTAAAAATACAAAAATGAGCTGGGTATGGTTGTGTGCGCCTGTAGTCCCAGCTACTGGGGAGGCTGAGGCAGGAGGATTGCTTGAACCTGGGAGGCAGAGGTTGCAGTGAACTGATCAAGCCGCTGCACTCTAGACTGGGTGACAGGGAAAGACTCTATCTCAAAAACAAACAAACAAAAAAAAGAACCAAAGACAAATTTTATAAAATTTAAAGTAACTCATAGATGAATTTAATAGCATATTTGACAGAGTTGAAAACTGAAATAGTGAGTTGGAAGAAAAGATAGCTAAAATATCCAGTCTGAAGCATAGGAAGGAAAAAGAATATGTCATAACAACAACAACAACAACAAAAAAGTGGGTGATGGCCGGGCTCGGCGGCTCACGCCTGTAATCCCAACACTTCGGGAGGCCGAGGTGGGCAGATCACGAGGTCAGGAGATCGAGACCATCCTGGCTAACACGGTGAAACCCCATCTCTACTAAAAATACAAAAAAATTAGCCGGGCGTGGTGGCGGGCGCCTGTAGTCCCAGCTGCTCGGGAGGCTGAGGCAGGAGAATGGCATGAGCCCAGGAGGCGGAGGTTGCAGTGAGCCAAGACCGCGGCCGTTGCAGTGAGCCAAGACCACGGCCATTGCACTCCAGCCTGGGCGACGGAGAGAGACTCCGTCTCAAAAAAAAAAAAAAAAAGAAAGAAAAAAAGTGGGTGAAGAAAAGAAAGGTAAAAGAGTGGAAAATTCAAAAAACAGAGTAAAGAGACTTAGAGAATACAGTGTAAAGGTATAATGTATATAGTTAGAATACCCAAAGGAAATTAGAGAAAACAGAGCACGAGTTTTGAAGAGACACTGACTAGAAATTTTCAGAAATTAATGAGAGACATCAAGCTAACAAGACAACATTCAATAAGTTATGTAAACCTTAAGTAGAATAAATTTAGAAAAAGAATGCCACCTAGTTGTATCAAATCAAAGCAAAACTGCTGAAACCGACGATGAACAGAAAATCTTAAAAGCAGCCAGCTTTTAAATTTGAGAGCTGACTTTTCAATTAAAACAATGGAAGCCAGAAGAAAATGGAATTTTTTTTCAAAGAACCAAAAGAAAATGACTGTCAACCAATAATTCTATGCCCAACAAGATACAAACTTTAAAAATGAAGATAAAATGAAG